TAATCAGCTCCTCCCTGTCTTATCTTGCCTGGATTCCTGCCACCCCATCCCCAACACGTTCTCCACAGACACCTCGATGCCATCACTTGGTAGGGACCAGCCTGCTTCCGATTGTTGAAGATAGTGACTACATCTTTCCTCTTTCTTACTCTTAGTGCCTGACTGTCAGATATTTGTTGAATGAGTGAATGAATGAATCCATAAAACATTGCCCTGGCTTCAGCTGTGTGCAGATCACCTCCTGAGCAGGTGACCAGGTGTTGAATCTGATCCTTGTTCATTACTGTTGGTGAAGATTGCTAGTTATCCCCAACACTCCTCACCTGCTATGGTGACAGAACTTTAGCTGAGCACCTAGCTGCTCACCATGGACTACACTTCCCAGCCTCCCTTGCAGCCTGGATACAACCGTGAAGCTATGATAGATTCTGGGCTGAGGAAGTAAACAAAAGCGATGTGAACAGTTGTGGATTTGACTTTAAAGGGAAGGAGTGTGCCCTGCCCTGGGCCCTCCTCCTCTTCCTGTAATGAATGTGCACAGGACAGTGATCCTGTCAGGTTCAGAGGAGCAGGGCAGCAGTTTGGAGACAGAGAAATCATGGTCTCAAATGGCTCCGCCGACCAGACCTGCCCCATCAGCCCACCTGTGACATGAAAGCATGAGAAACGGACTTCTAATTGGCTTATGTCATCGTGATTTGGATTCTCTAGGACACATGACTTCGTCCACATCCTGGCCAATACAAGGCAATACAAGGCATCTCAGTGCAGTAGCTCTTCAGAAGTGGGAAAGGCTGGCGGACATCTAGTTAACCCGTGAGGGAGAGTTGCTGGGACTCACTGGGCTGACTACCCCTCAGGAAATATATTTAAAAACTAGAGGCCAGCAGATGGTGTAGTGGTTATGTCACTGGACTCGCACATGGCCAACTGCAGTTCGAGTCTGAGTCCCAGACTCAGTGGCTCACATCATACGGAGAGCATGTGTGTGCACACCCAAGATCCTGGGAGGACAATGGAGAGGAAGGGATAGGGGCAAGGCCATCCCCCCAGGGGTGATTTCTAACTTGCCCTCTCACTCTCTCTGTCTCTGTCTCTTTCTCTCCGGAAAGTGTAACCACCCTCACTGCCTTCAACAAATCAGTGCAATCAATATGAATGCATAGAACAGTTGGAATCGTTCAGCTGAATGCTGTCATCCCATGAACCTGACATACTGATATGGTGGGGACAAGGGACGCTGCCTGCGAATGACTTGGGAGTCACTGGTTTTTAGTTCCAAATAATAGGTTCTTACTTAGTTAACTTCGTACACACAGTAGCTGCATTATTTCTCCTATGCTTTTACCTATAGTTCTCCTCCACTGCTGAATCTCTTGATAAAGGATCGGGATCGCCCAGGGCCCTTCCTGATCAATTTTGACCAAGGACATCATGTCCCTAATTCATGGTCATGTTTGAAAGTTTCTGTTGTTTGAGGCTAGATGGTAGCAGAGATGTGGCATCATGCTCTGCTCTGTGAGGCAACCCCCTGTGGAAAGGTTAGCAGTTCAAGTCTGAGACCTCTCTCTGTGTGCAGATACCCGTTGGCTATGATCTAGGACTGGCTGAAGGCTGGGGTGGATTGCATCACAACCATGTTGAGGAGGATGTTCTCTCTCTCTCTCTGTCTCTCTGGCTCATGGAAGAAATGAAATTTTTAAAAAATCTGCTCTTCAAAACTCTTAATTCCCCAAATACAATGACCTAATACACACCTGCCCAGAAATCAGCTGAACTACGTTTACTGATGCTCAACGTCCTGTACATTAAATTTGAAAGATGAACTAACACACCACCATCCCTCCCAGATTTGATAGTCTAAGAATCCAAATATCTTTAAGATACCTTGATGGAATGCATCATCTTCCAAATGCATATACCTTGTATACTTTATCCATTTCTCCTTCAACATCTGTTGAACTTTTTGGTTTCACTACACTGTAAGTTAGCATAGCCATGAGTGGAAAAGTACACACATTCACATTTGTACAAATTAATTGACAAGCTTTTCTAGAAAGCTTCTCTGAAAAACTATCTGGAAAGATCTGTTATTCTTATGACATATACTATGGTTTTTATCCCTCCTCCCAGCCAGTTTCTGGAATTTCAGAAATTGTAGAATTTCAGAAAATCATAGTTTTGAGAATTTCAAAATCTTCTTTTGTCTCCAGTTTGGCCTCTCCCTCACAAATGAATTTTGGAGCCGGCCTGTCCCAAACTCTATAGACACCTAATGTGCAAATAATTAAGCAGGATTATCCCACAGAGATACTACGAGAGCTGTTTTAGGATGCAGATGCCCTAAGATGAATGTAAAGAAATCTAACGCGCTTACCTGAACCTCAGAGATGCAGGCTGTCCCCCAGGTGCAAGGCAAACCAGGAATCACAGGCAAACTAAATAAAACCATGCCTTCCTGCCATAATTCCCTAGTGTGTATCTGCAAAATAGCAGGAAGGGGAGGGAGCAGAGGAAGGCATGAGATGTCTTGGAAGAGCTTCAACAATTACAGCAATGCTTGAGCCAGGTAACATCTTCAACCAGCATCACTTAGTTTAGGTCACTTTTCTTTTCCTCCCTTCATTACAAAATGAGGGAACATGAGATAAACTTTTAAGTAGAGTCTGGAGGAAGGCATCTCCATGGCAGGCGTTTTTTCAAAGTGATGTTTAAACCTTTGCTTAAGCCCCTGCAGACCGTGAGTCAGTCATGGGGCAATAGGACAAAACCGAACTTGTAGCAGTGGTCAGGTCTCCCTGGAATCTTGGATCACTAGAATTGCTATTAGATTTTCAAAATTATGTGTAGTTGTTTTCATTTTAGGCATTTGTCTACCTGAGGATTGAGTGTGTACTCCCTTCATACACACACACCACTCCATCTACCCCACCCCAGAATATGCTACAATTATCCTTATAGTGAATTCCATGTAATCGTTGATTCTTAACTTTTCCTGATATATGTCTAACATTGATCTAAAATTTAAAAATAACATCAAGAGAACAAATGTACCCAACACTGATTCTCAGAGGGGCTGAGGGGAACCCCCAGTTCAATTGCAAAAATCACCCTGGGGTTTATGAGTGCAAGACAGGCCCCACTGGTAGAACTAACCCCTCCCCATCTTCCTCCCAGACCCTATTCTCATCATGCTTCATTCTCATCAGTACAGTGGATAAAACAATACCAATGTTGGGGTTGCTAGGTGAAGTGGTGGGTAAGATACTGGGCTCCCACATGGCCGACGATGGTTTGAGTCCCAGACCTGGCAGCTTGCTTTGTCACTTTTGTCTCTCTCTCGCATTGGTCAAATTAAAGAATGATAATAAATCAAATAAAATTCTTAAAAAATACTCATGTTCCAGGGTGGTGGTAGGATTTAATTAGCATGCCCAAGGTCAGGGTCCGGTTTCTCCTGGCCACTCGTCTGCCCTCACCTCTTGTTTATTCAGTGCAGACAAGGAGGTCCCTCTAGCAGCATGTACCCTCCGGCCAGTGTCCTCTTTCTGTCTTCACCTCTCCTCCAGTGTCTTCTGGCCATTCCCCAGGGCTGCCACAGGCCCACCCTGCTCTCGGGCCCTGCTCCTCTTTGAGGCTTCAGCTTTGCCATGGATAGGTCCTTCTCCGATCTTCCCACCCCTGATCTCACGCCTCATATTTACCCATGGGATGGACCAGGTGGGCACTACTCAAGCAGGGAACTCCAGCCTGACCCCTCTACACCACTCACTTTTGTCTTGTTACGTGTGTGGTGCTACCACCCACTCACTGCTCAACACCAGAACTTGGAAAACAGTGTCTCCTCCAAACCTGCTCTAGCACTGAGCATTCTTCATGCCTCGCCTCCTGCTCTCCTCTCCTTGAATCTGCACTTTCTACTGCCACTGGGGAATGAGGTGGGCTGGGTCCCAAACCAGCACATCCAGCCATATAGCATTTCTGGCCCTGAACTCTGCCTTAAAGACAATCCAGTGTCACTTTGGGGCCCCAGGGCCTTCTCCATCCAGTCACCTGTCGTACTTCAATTACAGCCACACTGAGTCCATGTGGTCGCATGTATCTCTGCAGGGCTAGGTCTCACTTGGTTAACCCCATCAGTTCACCTGTCCTCAGGAGCCTGTGCAACAGTGTTCCAGGACTCAGGACCACTGGGCCAGATACTCACCAGAAGAAAGGACTCCATCCTCTGAGGTCACTGCGTATCAGCCACACGCTGCTGGTGTTGCACAGCTGGTGCCGAATTCCATCATGTCTTGCTGACTTCGACCACACTCTCCTTTAGAGGATTCACACATTTCAGTGGTCTCTCCACTGCATGCAGGAGTGAACACGTGTTGGTTTATCTCCCCCACAGTTTTCCAGAAGAAAATGCCACTGCCCTCTACGTTCAATCCTTCCTATATACACCACCATCTTGGGCCCCCCTTTAGGTTCCTGATGATCTCACCCTCCTCCCCACCCAAGCTAACCAAGTAGGTAGATGTTAGCAGTAAACAAAATGTGGGGAGTAGCAGTTTGGCAACCTTTATAGGAACCCAGTTCTGATTACAGTCACAGCAAACAATGGGCTGTTTACTAAGCCTTCTAAGCTGTTAACAGTGAAGGAAATTCCCAGCTGCCCCACCCCCAAGGGCTAAGTGAGCCTTGGGCTGCAGGAGCACCTCCTAGTAGGAGGCCTGGCCCCACTTGACCTAGCCCAGCAGCTGTGGAGCCCAAGAGATGCAAAGTATGTTCTGTTCATCGACCTCTATCACCCCTAGCAATAGCTGCTGCCACCAAATACAGGGCTTCTTAGGCCCAGCCACAGGGTCCAGGCTGCCAAGCCCCAGTTCGCTGCAGGCTGGAATCACATGGAGGCTTGGGTTCAACCCTGGGTCCAACATAAAAGGCTTGAGGATGACCTGGGCAATATAGTAATACCCTATCTTAAAAAAATAAATAAGAAGCCTTCTCATTTCCAATTTTGCTGGTATCAACCTTACTCCATGTTTATCTAGTGATTTATTTTTATTTTTTAACTTTTTGCTATAGGATATGTGCACTCCCTGGAGAGAGGAAAACCAGAGAAAAAGTGAAAAATCATCCTCCTGTTCCTCCTCCCCAGGGGGAATGGCCACACCCAACCCCTTCTCCTCCATTCTCCTCTTGGGATTTTGGGTATGCAAGCACATGCACCTGTTATGATTTTCAATAAGTCACTGGGTCCAGGACTCAAATGGTGGAGTCAGCCAGGTCCTTAGCCCCATGCCACCTGCTGGCTTGGTCTAGTGATTTTTTATGTTTTGGAGAGGTCCCTCTTGTTTCTCACAGAACCTTCTTCCTCCCACCCCTGCCCAGTGGTTTGATCATGAATGAATGAATGAGAAGTCGGCCAATGTCGGCAGGACTGGATCTGCAAACCCCAGAAACCCTTCTGCCACTCACACTTCATTTATATATTTTAAAAATGAATCCACTTTATTTTACTACTCAAATGCACTCTGGAACCAGTTTGGCAAATTAATTTTAATATACAGATAAAAAATAAACAACCAATATAGATTCACAGCATTTACAAGAAATCATTCAAATAACATCGTAACTTATTTGTTTTACAAAAAACTTCATTCAACAAAAATACATATTGTGAAGTTACAACGCTCTTGTACACCACACTTCAGCAGTTCAGAAGCTGTCACGTGACGTACATAGATAACAACTTGAGTTAGGAGTTAAAAGGTTACCAAAAGCCTCACCAAGTACATAAGCTGTCATACACAATGGAGGCTAATATTTACAAGAAAGACCAATTATTAAATTATAAAATTAGTTAAAAGCATTTCTTAAATATAAAAGTCAATGCCTATGAGATAACTAAAGGCAACAATGAAAAATATGTTGTAGGAAATTAAATTTACATTATGTATTTAAGCTTCTGGGTTTTTTTTTCCTTTTCTTTCCAAGACCAACTAGTTTTCACTTCTTTTTTTCCAAAGTCTTTCGAATCCCACTTCTATTGCATCCTGAAAAGAGCATTAGCCAAGTGACATTTTGACAGAGAGGACAACTTGTAGGTTAAGCTTATTTTAGGGAAAACCATGCCTGTTTATCAGTTTAACCTAGAAGTTGATTGGTGTCTAGGACCTCTGGCCTGGAGGCCACTGAGAGGGCATTTATTCATACTTGCTGGCACTTTGCTGTGAGGGACACTCTATCTCTCCTCTCCTTGCTGAAATCATAATGCAGAAATATTCTCCCCTAACTCCAGGTAGTTAGGTGGTCACTCTGTTCTGGAAAGGAAACTAGATTGAGCTTTGAACTGGGACACACCAGCAATTTAGGCACACAGGGATAGCCACCTGGTAAAATGCTGGATCACCTGGCTTTTACGGAGAAGTTCCGTCTTGGACCAGCCTTCGAATTTACTGTCCTTTTGCTTTGTGTCTAGACAACGGCAACATGGAACGTGAGGATGTCCTTGAACAGACAGGACCTTAGTCTTCTTCTGGATTAGGTATAAAAAGGCACAACGATATCCAGAAATAGCGTTAGATGGTAATGAAATGTCTTCAACGACAAAAATCAGAACAACCAGCAGGAAACAAAAACCAGATCTGAGGAAAAAAAAAAAAAAAACCTATGCAGGTAATAGCCCATAGAAGCTCTGGCAAACTGCTGCCAACCCGTTTCTGGTCTGAGGTTAAAGACCCAGAATGTTATTTCTTCAGGATTCTGTAAATATTCCATTTTATAACTGCTTACACTGCAGGGTTGTTACATGTTTACGTATGATCAATATGGAGAAGGCTGGTTTTGACCCAAGGCCATATCAGTTGTCTTACCTGGCAAATTCTAAAACACGAAAGGTAGAATACATCACAATGTTATCTTTTTCTCTGGCCCACCCATATTATGTAATGTAGGGTCAAAAAGAGACAAGAGCAGAGAGAAAGTCCTAATGCAGTTTATACATAATCCATGTACAACGTTCTTTCCCTTGTCTCTCTTCTTTCCAGGTGGAACATATGACAACGTCAAGAAGGAAGTTCGGTCAAGCAAAAATCAGAGTGTCTTGCTTTCTATTCTTTGCAAAACTCAGGAATTTGGAAATAAAAACCTAAGCTAGGCATATAGATTTTCAAGAATTCAAAGGATGATCTATTCTTTCAAAAATAAGTTAGCAGTTTTCAAAGTCACCTAAAAATCCAAGTAGGATTCACCCAGGACAGATATTAGATTAATTCTCACGCTACCAAAAACTCACTAGAGCAACCCCGAGACTTGACTGAACCTGACTTAATAAAACACGTTCTGGCATTCATGATTCACTGTTAGGAGGCCAAGGAGGTAGGTGGAAACTGGAGGCTGGGGTTCAGCTGGGAAATCAATCAGGACTGGCCATAAACTTAAAGCATTTCTTCATCACCCATTAGTAAGCATTGGGAAACCCTCTGAGTGACTACTGGAATCCTCACGGAAAATGTAACATAGGCAATGATTCTCTTTATTTCTTTAAAGTAATTCTTTTGTATTACATTAATGAAAAAAAACAAAACTATTCAAAATTGCTGCACATACAAATAACTCTATTTAGCAAAGAAACCCCTGCAGTTGATTGCTGAGGTGTCCAGGAAGCATGTTTACATATAGTTTCCAAAATACAGTATTACATTTTGTTAGTAAAAAGGCTAGTTACATAAACGCAACTAAAGTCGAAGTGTCTATTCAAGAAGAAAACACATGTGCACACCCACACTCGCTTGTGTGTGTGAAGCTACAGCACCTTCTGAGCATCTTCCTCACAGAGCAACTTCTGTCTCAGGACACACAGGGTGAAGGTCACAGAAATCCCCGAAGGCTTGCCAGCCTCGGGGCACCATAACCTCTCAGCATGCTGCCTGTAAGTAAGCACCACCAAAGTGGCATGTCAGGCTCACGAATGGTCAGTCACAGAATAGCCTCAGGCCCCACGGGAGAGGCCCAGGGCTGTTTTCTTGATGCAAAACATCACTTCCTTTAAGGACAGTTCTGGATATAGGGGAGGGAGGGAGAATGAGGAACCACACACTCAAAGATTTAGGATGACATTTTGTCTTTGACATCACAGATTTGTTTATTTTCAACCATGGGCCTATTAGAAGAAAAAATAAATTTGCAAGAGTAGCATACAAAAATGAGCTTCTCCAACAGAAGATCTACAAACTGTGCATGTAATAAAATAACCCCATCCTCAGACGCACCCCTGCCCTATCATCTGGGGCACGGAAAGGATTTTAAATAGTCCTCTCTCTTGCAGAGTTTTTCTCCTTACATATTCTAAAGTCATTTTCATCACAATGTACACTATAGACAAAGAAAAGGAAGGTGGTTGTTATCTGCAAGGATCGGCCCATGTGGAATTTGTTTAAAAAGATGGCTATTTGTGAGCCCAGATATTTTGTTAAAGTCTCCTTTATAAAGAGTGACTTTTTAGAAATCTGTTGGCATACTAATGATGGCACGGAAATACACCATTGTTCTGGGCTTACGTGCCAAAGGTGGTTTCAAGTCCCTGGGAAGCAGAGTCGCTTTGCTCCTCATACTTTCTCCATGGAATGTGTGTCTGTAATTCCACTGGCGGTGATGGCAGAAACATCTTCGGGATGACACTCTTCTCTTTTTAAACAGGGTCTCACTGTGTTGTGGTCTTCCTGCCTCAGCCTCCCTAGTAGGTGGAACTACAGGTGCATAGCACCGGGCTGAGTGTTCAGGAATGGCCAGGAACCGAGCCCGGGTCGTCTCCCGCGTGGCTCCAGCCTGCTTGGTAGCAACTTCAACCAGTGCACGCTCCAGCAAGTGGGCCAGGAATGCTTTCAAAACACCTCCCAGTGGGTGCATTTTCACATTTGCTTTATCATAAAAACTAAATGGGCAACTATATTGCAAATGGCTATTGTAACGGCAGCGTTTCCTAGGTTATGACATGTAGGTAAGACAGGATTTCTGCTCATGAGTTACGCAAGGCACACAGGCGGGAGAGGACCTGACCCGACACGGACAGGACCAGCTTGCAGTAGGATTTCTCCCTCCTTGCCTTGGGGACTTTGGGAATGCTTCATCAGTCACTCTGTACTGCAGACAGTGCTGCCAGGTGAGGTCTGCCTCTAGCGTGGAGGAGGAAGAGCCTTGCAAAATAAAGCCCGCACTACCACTGGGTTACTGTGTGGGCTCAGGTGATAGCAAGGAACACAAGGGCCGCCTCACACAGCCGGAGGGCCAACGCT